GTGGGTTTGAACCGCCAGCCTTCTGGTTAGCAGTCAAGTGCCTTAGGCACTATGCTACCAGAGCTCCTACAGTGACCTTACAGGACACAGTAAAACTGCCCCACAGGACTTTCAAAGCTGTAAGTATTTTACAGAAGCAGCCTGCCTCATCTTTCTCCCACGGAGCAGCTAGCAAATTCGAACTGCTGTCCTTTTGGTTAGCAGTCCAACGCTTTGACCACAGCACCTCAAGAGTTCCCACCTAGTAAACCTGAAATTCACAGAAAATTGTTGTTGTCAGGTGCCCTCAAGGAGGTTCTGACGCATAGCGACCTTATATACAATGGGATGAAACACTGCCCAGTCCTGAACCATTCTCACAACTGTTTACACGTCTGAGCCTGTTCTCGCAGCCAATGTGTCAATCTATCTCGTTGAGTCTTCCTCTTTTTTGCTGACCCTCTATCAAGCCTGATGTCTTTCTCCGGGGACTGGTCCCTCCTAGTAGCACGTAATTGCTTATTAAAAATAAACTCCCCTTCCAGAAATTTTTTTACAGAAGCATATCCATAGTGTACAGATAAAAAATGTTCACTGTGGCAGTTTACAAGATTAAATAATTAGTCATAGCCTAAAAGTCACTTGATAGAGGATATTTTCCAAAACCAAAAAAATATTCAGACTTTCAAAAGCATGATGAACATCTATACTCAATGACGGAGTATAAATGTATGCATGTGTACATTTCTAAAGGTGAAAACACGGTCACCAAAATGTTAAAAAAGTCTCTGGATGGTTGACTCTCAAGAGGTAATTTGCTGCTTCATGCTTTTCTTTACCAAATTTTCTCCAAATAGCATGTATTATCTTTAAAAATAGAGAAAACAAAATCAATTTTAAAACAAAAAATTCTCTTTTGGCTTATGGATTTTTCCAATATTTTAAAGTGTTTCTTCAGAAAAGAATTCAAAAGTATTAGTAGTTCAAAGAGTAGATATTTACAAAAAACATTTTAGACTGTAGAATTATGACTGCATAATCACCAATGGATTAAAAAGCATTTATACTGGAGAATGATTAAAAAGAAAGGTTTATCTATAAGCACCAACAAAGAAAGATGTTCATAGTGCAGTCATACACCCAAGTGCAAGTGCAGAAAGAATTACATGCACATGACCATCTCATTTTTATTTTCTTAAAAAAGAAAACCCCTCTGCTTATGAGTTCACACAGGCAGAGAAATAATTTAGAAGGCTACAGTGACATCAAATAGCTAACAATAATAAATCTAAACAGTGAGAATGGGAGCAAAGAAATAACTTTTCCATTTACCATGTAAACTTCTCTGGGCTTAAATTGCTTTTATATAACAAGTAAGCTTTATGTAGACAGCTAAATAGTCTTAACAATAACTTACTAAAAAGAATTTGTACATTCACAATTTCACACATAATTTCTAGTCCAGGACCCCTTAAAAATGTGTCCTTCCCTTAAGAGAGTTTTTATTCTTAAGTTTCACTAACACTGACACCTCAGGTTTAATAGGTCAACTTCATATTTTTATCCTCCAAGCAGGCCTGTGTGAATTTCTTCCAAGTATAAACCAAAGAGCCAAAGTCTATACACAAGAGGACATAGTAGGTTCTCACATTTACATTCTTCAAAATAACGTGTCCTTTTCAAAACATACATTCAAGAGATTACGCTGAAGCAATTGTTCCACATTCTACTTTGGTGAGTTGCAACTGGGATCTCAAAAGCTTGCAAGCGATCATCTAGATGCAATGATGGGTCTCTCCTCGTCCAGAGCAGAGAAGAATGAAGAAAACCAAAGATGCATGGAAACAATTAGTCCAAGGGACTGGTAGACCATGTGATCCTGAGCCTATACGACCGTGAGACCAGAAGAACTAGGTGGTACCTGGCTACCACTGTCAACCATGAGGATGGTGATCTGTGTAGGAGACCCTGGATAAGAGTGGGAGAACAATGGGGAACAAAGCTCAAAATTATTTAAAAAAAAGACCAAGTTTGCTGGTCTGATAGAGCCTGGTGAAACCCCTGAGACCATGGCCCCTAGCTGCCCTTCTGGTCTGGAACTGAACTCACTCCTGCGGCTTCCAGCCAAATAAATGACCGGCATTTGGGCTGAACATTTACATCAGGTAGATACACTTCCTGGAGAGCTCAATCATGGGAGAATAAAAGGGCAGCGTACGTACAGGGAGACAGCTGGGGGCGGTGCAAGGGAGGGAAGGACACCGGGAAGACATAGCTATGGGGAGGAAATGGGAAGAGAGCTGTTATATTGTGGGAAATTGCAGTCAATGTCATGAGACAAAATGCGTATGAACTGCTATATGGAAAATGAACTTACTCTGTA